CGTTGGCGCAGGCGCGGCCGGCGCAGTCGTCCAGGTCGTGCTCGCAGCGCTGACCCGCGAAGCCTGCGCGGCAGCGGCAGCGCAGGGCATGGCCCAGGTCCAGGCACAGCCCACCTGCGGGGAAGGGAGCGTCAGGGGGCGCAGCCCGGGGGTGGCAGCTCCCACGCCCGCCCGCGCTTCTGTCTCTCCGCTGTGTAATCGCCGCCCTAGGTCCCCTCTTCTCGGGGTCCTCTTTCTCTAACTCAAGCGCCAGCCTCTTGGAGCCTGCCTGGACAGCAGGCTCGCTTCTTTTCCTACCTGATGAAGTTTTAGAATAATTCACCGTCACCTCTTTTGGCTCTCTGTCTCTTTTTCGCTTGGCTTCAATTACACTTAAATAGTTAAAAAGTTCCAAAGCTACGCGTTGGAACCACCTGGCCTTTGCCTATGCCGCCTTCTGCCTGGAACGCCCCTCCTCTTTTTCCCTTTCTCCTTTTCTCCCATTTTTTTCACCTTCTCACTTCCCAGGCTCACCCTTCGGGTCTCTGCTCAGATGTCCCCTCCTCTGGGAAGCCCTCCCTGACTCTTCCTCCATCCCAGCCCTGATCACCGTGCCTGTGCTCCCCCATCACAGGCCTGATCATTCTGAGCTCTGAGAATGAGCCCGTCTTCCCCCTGGGTTGTTACCCCAGGAAGGAAGGGCCCAGAGATGTCCTGGTCACTGCTGTCCCTGGTAGCACTCAGCCCAGAGTGAACACTCAGTGTTTTGGAGAGAATCATATTTGCTCACAAGAATGCACCAGGCCCTTTACATTCATGATCTCATTTAGTCTTTTAACATCTATATCAGATGAGGTCTCTCCCCTGCTCAGAATCCTCCTATGGCTCCATCTCGCTCAGGGTAAGAGCGAGAGTCCTCCACGTGGCCAAGGAGATCTCACAGGCCGTGCCCCAGTTACCTCCCTGACCTCATCTCTCACCACGCTCCCCGTGCTCACTCTGCTCCACCCGCACTGGCTGCCCTGCTGATCCTTGACACACCAGGCACTTCCGACCGCATCAGCTCTACAAGGGCAGCGATTTTTGTTTGTTTAATTTCCTGCTGTATTCCCAGTGTCTAGAACAGGGCCTGGCACACAGTAAATTCTCAGTAAATATTTGAGATAGGGAATATCCCCTTGCCCATTTTACAGTAGAACAAAGAGGCTGGGAAAAGGGGGGAGGTCGCGTCCCCAGGCCCTGAACCTAGAGGAGGCAAGGCCAGGATTCCCATGCAGGACTCTCTGAGCCATACATGACTCCTCACCCCCATCCCTCAGTGGCCTCCCCACCTCACCATTCTGGCATGGCTGCTGACTGCAACGATCCACTCTCTTCTCACAGTTGGAGCCTTGGAAACCAGGTGGGCAGTGGCAGACGTAGGCAGAGTCAGGGTCTGCACCCCCAACACACAAGCCGCCATTGAAGCAGGGTCCATCCGCACATGTCACTCCGCTCACTTCACACCTCAACCCATAGAACCCTCGGGGGCAGGTGCATTCGAAGGACCCGGGTGTCTCCTGGGCAGGGGCAAGAAGGCTTTGGGCAGGGGTTTCCTTGAGCAAGATCCCATCCCCCTCCTTAGTCTTAACCACTGGAGGCTCTCCTTGTCCAGCTCCAAGTCCCAGTGTCAGGAGCCTCACCTGAGAAGTCCTCCCCAGACAACCCCACACTCCACACCATGTGTCTGCCCGTTTAACCCCACAGGGAGAATGCTCTGGAGGACCAGAGAGATCCCATCACCACCACCACACCTTTGCCTTCCAAATACTGCCTGCCTGGTCTGCCCTCCCCGATTCTGTCCACATAGACAAATCCTGCTTTGAGGACCTACCTCTAAGCTCACCTCCTCCATGAGGCCTGAGTTTCATCTCCCCGTCCCAGGCCCTCCCCCTAACTTGTACCCTGAGTGTTTCTTACTCTCTCATGGTGGCAGCATCCAGTTGGCCCACCCTAGGCTCTACTTTATCCCAATACTACACACCAGGCTCAATCCCACCTCCACACCTTTGCTCCCCGCAGGCCACTCACCTGGCCTACCCTCTCTAATCAGCTCCCCTCAACCAAGTCATATTTCAGAAGCCCCAGCCCTGGGCCCATCTCCAGGAAGCCTGCTCTAATGTCTCCATCCCCCGGACCCCCAGATGTCAAATCCTACCACCCCCTATCTTATCTTGGGCCAAATTGTTTTCTATCCCACAGTGGGGGCAGTTGTGGCCTCACAGGACTCCTGAGCATCCCATTTCCACATCTTTCAGTGCCACCCACTGAGTCTTCGCTCGCCAGTCCCGTCCCCATCACCTAATCCTACTTCAAGGCTGCCAGTGCAGACTGGACACTTCCAGGAAGCCCTCTCTGAAAGCTACTCCCAGACCTCCTCTGCAGGCTGGTGCTTTATGGAGCCCCAGAGAAGGGGCTGTGTGAACTCCCAGGATAAAGCACTAATCAGCTAATCAGGATGAGGTGGAAAAGGTGATACTGACACTACAGCTGCCTCCATTGGCACACGGGTTCACGTCACAGGGCCCAGGCCCAGGCACAAGGCATCCAGCGGTGGCAGAGGGTGGGCCCCTGGGGCTGAGGCAGCTGCTGGTAGAGACAGGGACTGTGCAGAGGGGCCCAGTCCAACCCTCCAGGCATCGACATTCATCAGGCTGCTCACAGAAGCCATGCTCTGGGCTGCAGCCTGCTCGACATGACACTACAGGGGGGACAAAGAGGCAGAGACAAGAGGCCTATCAATGTCAGAGAAGGCCAGGGGCAGGAGGATGGGAAGAGGACAGGTTTCCGAGGCTTTCCATGTACCACCTTGCTTCACCCTTGTGACAAACGACCCTTTGAGCTAGATAGTACTGCAATCCCCAGTTTACATACAGGGAAACTGAGGCCCAGAGAGGTGAGGTGACCTGCCCAGCTAGGAAGTGAAGTGAGGATTCAAACCCAGCCCATTTGGCTCGAGTCTGTGCTCCTGGAAGGAGGATGGGGTGGGGTCTCCCAAGTCTAAGCTTGGAGCGAGAATGAGGGAAGAGGATTTGGGATTGGAGAGGAAACCCTGGCTTTCTGGGAAGGTAGGAGGATCTTGGATGAGGGCAGGTCTGGAAAGATCTGGATGGGCCTGGGAGTTTTAGGAGAATTTGTGGGGCTCTGAAATTTGTGGAGGGCTCTGAGGGGCCCCAGGGTGGAGGTCGGGGATCTCAAACTTTAAAAAGCAATGGGTTCTGGACTACAATCTCAGAAATGATGGATGGAGGATCCCTTTGTGGGTGGGGGGATTGGGAGGAATTTCTAAAGCTCCTGGGTGGGAGTAGGGAGGACCCCAAAATTTGAAAAGCTTGGGGTCCTAGCATCAGGAAAGGGGTGTGGGTATGGCTTAGGAAGGAACTGAGGGGTATCAGCATGGGAAATGAGTGTGGATTTCCTATTGGGGACAACAAAAATGCTGGGAAGAGGGAAGGAGCCTGGAGAGAGGTTTAGGGTCTTCAGTTTCCCTGAAGGTGGTAGCTGGATGGTGGGAAGGCTTGAAGACCATGAGGAGAGCTAGGGAGGGGCCCGGGGTTCCCAGTTCCCTGAAAGGGATAGCTGGGTTGTGGGGGGGACCTGAGGACCGAGAGTGGAGCTGGAGGGGTGTCTGGGGTACACAAGTAACAGCCAGCAGGATTCCCAAGTTCCCTGGAGGGGGCATCCGGGGTACCTGGGGAGGGCTGTAAAGTCCCATGAAGAGGGGACCTGGGTTGTGAGAACGGCCTGCGGGCCGCGAGAGGAGCGAAGGAGGGGCCGTGGACCCGGGCTGGGATGGGACGGCGTTGGACGTAGGACTCACGCGGAGCTTCGCACTCGTCCTCGACCGGCGCGCAGGGGCGCAGTCCCGGATCGCACCGCGAGGGGGCGCTGCGCGAGCGACAGAGGCGCGTGCACGCGACCCCGACGGTGGGCGGCTCGCAGCGCGCGCGGTACGAGAAGCGCAGCTCCCAG